GAGCACAGTGGGGACACACAGCAAGCAGCAGGCGAAGAGCCTTGTGTGCTGGTGGCCCCCGGAGCCCTCCTGTGTAAGAACCACTCCTGGAGCACTAAAAGTACAAGTTCACACCTCCCGGGCTTGTGTTTCATGAGGTGTGGAGTGGGCTCAGAAAGCTGAGAGGCTGAAAATGCCCCGGTACTTCTAACACACAGGCAGGCTTGAGCACCGCCAATTAGGGAATATTTATTAGCCAAATTAGAGCACTTTAATTTTATCCTGAGGTCAGAGGCTCTTAAACTGGGGTCTGTGGTTCTTTTGAGGATTTCTATAGAAATCCCATGCACTATTTACTACACAGTAATTTTACATTTTAGACATTCATGTTTTCCAAGGAAAAGAATCCATCATTTCCAAGGAAGGACCTCTTCCTTCTCCTTCCTTCAGCCATAAAGACCTTAACATTCAAGTTCAGGTGTGGGAGGGAGTGGGGTATAGCCCAGAGTCTGTTTCACGCCAAGGCATGAGATGGCTTTGGAGACACAGGCCAGGGAGCATCATTTGCTTGAACTAGGAGTTGGGTGTGACAGGGTCATTTGCATGAACTAGAGGGACAGGCTCTGTAGCACACACCTTGAAAAGCCCCCAGAGGACAGGTATTTGGGCCGAGCTGGAAGAATAAGAAGGAAAGGCGAAGGAGCCAGCAGCAGGGATGCTCATGGGCTCGCCTTCCCCAAGGAGTATGGAGACCAGGACTGGGGGAGATAGGAAGACATTTCAGAATTTCTCCACCTTCTTGGACAGAGGGGCCTCCATGAGGATCCACGATGCTGGGTTGTTTATCAGGGTTGGGCCTCGGAGCCAGAGGGGGCCTCACTCCTGCCCTGCAGAGCTAATTAAGAAGCACAATTAATTACTCTGCTGTAGTCACAGCAGAGGCTGAGGGACAATTTTCTTCCTCAGCTAGAATCAGCGCCTCTCTGCCCATCCCTGCTCACTCATTTGGCCAACAGGCAGTTATCAAGGCTGGACTTAGTCTTAGAAGGGCCCTTCTCCTGAGAGCCTGTCCAACATGCTAATATTTGGAAGTTTCTGCAGATCCGGCTTTCACCATTCATTTGTGGCCCTTACTGTGTCCTCAGACTAATGTGGGTTTCAGTAGGGCAATGGTATAGTTGATTGCTCAAACCAGGACTCTTGAGAGTGAGGGGAGCTTGTACTCACACCGGGATGACAGGTGTAAGCCTAGACGAGCTGGGCAGGCCAGGGCTGGTCACCCTACCTGAGGGCCTGGTGAAGGACAGGCTCGTCCTCTGTCCGGGAGGAAGTCAGGAGCCATGGACGCGCGTGGCCCCTGGGGGTGGGATGAATGTTGGGACGCCTGCAGCGGCGTCCTGGAAGGCTGTGGAGGCTCTCCTCCAATCTTCTGTCCACAGGTGAAGTGGGGACGAGGGGAGGCCCTGGTCTGGGCCTGGCCTCCGGGCGCTGGTGGTGGTGGGGTATTGAGCAGAGGATGGATATTCGCTCTGCAAAGCTAATAGAGCTCTGGGGTTCTGTGTGCCTTTGGTCGGTCTTGCTAGCACTGGACTCAGCCTGGGAGTTAACCAGCTCTGGGTGGAACAAATAGGAAAGTCAGTTTATTCAATGGCTGTTAATAGAGCTCCTACTGGGCACAGAGTGCTTGCTAAGGTAGCAGCCCATGCCTCCAGCACTCCGCAGCCCAGCCATGGAGTCTGGTGGGGACTGTCGGCCTTCAGTGCTCCCAGCAGGGACATGCTGGCAAGGAGGCTTCCTGGAAGAGAGGCTCTTTGATCTCCGTCCTGTAGGACAAACACGATTTACTCAGTGGAGGCCACTGTGATGGTTTTATGTGCATATGGGGGGGGATGGGGGAGGTGGCATGCTACAGCTCTGTGGGAGGGCCCTAAGCTCTAAGGAAAGAAATCCCTAACAAGAAAACCTGGAGGGGACCAATCAACACAAGGCAGTGATCTCAGCCTACCCTCTGCGCTTTCCTCCTGCTGATAAACATCTCTAAGTTGGGCAGCTCCGTTGGGACACTGAGTGGCACCTGAGGGCAGAGCCTGGCCGGAAACCATACTGAGCACAGTGATGAATAAATTTGCATGTTTTAAAACTGCCTCTTTCCCTCCTACTATAGCTGCCTTCCCCTAGAGATTTCCAGAAAGGCAGGTCACTCTCTCACTTTCACTTTCTACAGTATGCGTGTGAAGAGAGGAGGTGTTTCGGTCTGTGGCTCCCACGCCACGTAGCAGCAGAATCACCAGGAGGGCTTTTGAAAAGTGTAGATTCCTAGATCCCCACCCAGCTGGGAACAAAGGTTCCCAAAGTCTGCTCTCAAAGTGCAGCCCACTTGGTTCTGATGAGATAATCAGGTATGTTCTCAGGGCAGTGGGCTCCCTGTCCCAGAAACCTTGCCTGGCTTGGGGCCCCCATGGGCATGGGCTCAGAGATGTGGAAAAAGCAGGTGCAGATACAGAAGCTGACTTGCTTCTCAGACCTCAAGCCTGACCCCCTTCTCCCCACGGGGACAGGCAGACATGCACGATGAGAGACCTGCCCAGGTAGACACAAAGCACAAGTCCTTTTTCCTGCTTTTACCGTGTACTGTTTTGGGAGCTGTTTATTCTCAACTAGATTCTGAGTTTCTTGAATCTTTCTTCTTCATAGTGTTTTTTCTATGCCTGGCACACAGTGGTGCTCAGTAAGTGGGGGTGACTCCCTGCTGACACCTGAGCAGCTCGCCTCTGGGCCCGCCTCTGCACGTCCCTAGGAGGCCCTCTTGGTCCCGGAGTGTTTGATCTGGGCTGTGAGCCTCTGTATGTGTCTCCATCTCTATACACATACCATGGCGGAGGTCAGTGAGCATCTTAACTCCACCTTAAAGTCCAGTTTTTCTGCCTATGGTTAGCCTCCTCCACAGGAGACGAGGGGGCTTGAAGCTTTAGCGTTGGGTAGCACCCCCCACCCCCCCACAGATGCTTCATCACCTCATCAGGCACTTTATGGCTCCACTCTGATGATGGCCCCCTGGGGCTTGGCTCCATGCTGGGGTCCGGGCTAGATGGTATATCAGTGAGAGTAGGGCCAGCAGCTGGTGTAAGGAATACCCCTGTGAGTGCAAGTCTCCCCCAGCTTTATAAATTGCGGGGGTGGGGGTGAAAGGGTTAAACAGGAGAGCCTCAGGGACTGAATGGTCTGGGTGCTAGAACTTGCCTGCTAAAGAGGAGAGTCTGTTAATGAGGCCGCTTTCCAGGAAAGCCAGCTCAGCGAGGGCCAGACACTTATCAAGGGCTGTCTTGGCTACAAGGAACAGGTGCCAAATGAGGCTAACAAGTGGGGTTCCCAGAGAGCGGGCCTGATGGCTCCAGTGGCATCTCAAGGCCAGAGCTCAGAGGGGGCCATGACCCCAGTAATGAGGAGATGCAGGGTCAGCGTGGAACCAAGGAGGGGCCCCCTCCAAACTGGAGAGGGAGCAGGGCAAGCTGCCTGCTGATAAAGGTCAGCGACTGATGCTCTCGGGGGCGGGCCCTCCAGGGAGCAGGCCGTGGGGTAATGAATGAGCCGGGCACACATCTGAGGAGCAGTGATGAATGGCTGGGACTTGGCTCTAGGGCTCTGCAGAGGCTGTGGCTTCTCTGATGAGCTGTCTCTTCCTGCCAAAGAGCTCTCCAGGTGGCCTCTAGGGGCCGGGCCATTTGCAGCTCCTGTTCTCCAAGAGCCCCCGATGATGCTAACGGGAGGGGCCATCGGGCCACCTCTGCATGTGCACAAGGCCCTCAGGAAGGCACAGTCAGGGGACCCTACCACCACTCTGTGCCCTGCCCAGCGCTTAACCCCCCTCCTGCCCAGACCAAGCGCCAGCTGGCACCCAGGTGCCCATGGTGAGAAACGGAATGAGTACATGCCAGGGCAGCAAAACCCTTGGCCGGTCTGATAATTCTCAATTCATGCTTTTAGCCAGGTTTAAGGCGGACTTCAAGTGGCCAGCCGACATATCATTTGGGATGATAGATCACTATGCAATTTTTGGGACACATCTCAGGAGTTCAGAGAATCGAGGGACATCCACTTATTTATGTGAAAAGGCTTCTCAGCGTGTAAAGTTACAAAAAATGAAAAAAAAAGAAAATGATGCTGAGGCCTGACTCATTCTAGCAATCAATATTCATTCACATTTTGTAGGGTGTCAGGTGGTCGCGTCTTGCATCATGGATGGGGAAGATGCTTGATCACTGCACTGTACACCTGAAGCTGAAGTTGTATAATATTGTATGTCAACTATAAGTGAATATATATATATATAGATAGATAGATAGATAGATAGATAGATAGATAGATAGATAGATAGATAGATAGTCATGGGACGTGGAGTATAGTGTGGGAGTTGAGTCAAGGGAATTGTAATAGATATGTATGATATTGGGGGGAAATGGGGTGGTGGATTGGGGGGGTTGTCACTTCGAGGGGTAAAAAGTACAACTATTGCATTGTGTTGTACAGCTGAAACTAATTCTAAAAAATGTGTATTTCATAATAAAAAATAATTTAATAAAAAAAATATTCACAGACTCATGAACAATTAAGTTCCTCTCCATTTCACGAAATGTGTTTTCAATAAATTTCCCTTTTTAGGTTTAACAATTACTTATAAAAACCTTTATTGTCTATGTGGTTTTAATCAACCGTATACTCTAATTTACATTTAAAAATAGTTGTAACAACTCCATCCAGAAGGAAAAAACCCTTAGAACTTTTGGTCACAGGAAATTAAATATTTCAATTTCTAAATGTATTTTTTGGGTCAGAGAAGAATGACAAGGTGAGCAATTTCAACCATAAAAAATAACCGCATTTGTATAAAGTTCTATAGGCAGAATGGAATGGAGATACAAGCTCAAAGAGAAAAGGAGCAATGTAAAATCTTCAACTGTTAGAGTGTATTTTTTTTAATAGATGAGAGTAGGTATTAAGACACTGTGTGTTTGGACTCGGTGTGATGTTTTTTAAAGGGCCGTGGCCGCTTTATTTTAAAACGTAAATATTTACCAAATGCGAGAAATCACCTCTCTCGCTAGTTTATGTAAAAAAAATTATATGGCAACTTAAAAATGTGCAACATAGGATACATAGTTTAAAAAATGTGTGTGTGTGGGGGGGGCGGGGAGGATGTATCTAGAACAAAGCCCTCTTGAACCCCGGCCTGATGGCTCCTTCTGTCCTGGACGCCCAGCCGCTCCTATAAGCCAGGGCAGAAGCTGCCCTGTGCCTGTTGTCTGTGGGCTCTGTCTACACTTCCCTGCAGATTCCAGAACCTGGGCCTCTGGGAGAGGCCGTGGCTGCTGGGGGCTCGTACCTCTCCTCCGTGCTGACTTCAACTGCCCTTAGTTGGGGAGAAGGGGCAGATATTGTCCTGGGGAATTGAGAAGGGACAGATGTGCAGGTCAGAGAGGAAGAACTGGCCCCAGGCCGGGGCCGGAGTCTGCAAACGAGGATGGACCAGCCCACTCTGCGTGGCCACGGCGACCCTTTGGATGCCTGGTGGACTTGACCTGCAGGGAGGTTTATTTCAGAGAGCAGAGATGTGGTTTCTGAATGGGAGGCTGAAGCCCAGTCTCAGGTAGGGGCTGGGGGATGAGCTCCAGTCATGAAAGACGTACTTTGGTTTCCGATATTTCTAACCCGCTCCTCCTCCTGGCTCATCCCGTGCTGCTTCTCCCTGTTTCGCCCTGCACTACGTATCTGGCTGGCCTAAGAGCGTATGGCTGCCCTGCCCATGTCATCCTCCTCACCTGCCCCTCCCCACGCCCCTGAATCTGTGGACTAGGCTGAGAACAGAGCTCCCAGAAAGGAGTCAGCATCCTTCAGGGGCCCCCAGGGGCAGGAGGATGGCTGGGTCAGGGCTGGGCTGTAGATGAGGCTTCTCCTCCAGGCGAGAGGCCCTGGGGTGAAGCCCTCTGAATTAATCCTTTACTCCAGCTGCTGTGCCTCCCCGCAGCTGCAGAGGGCGCCATCGAGCACAGAGGCACAGACGGGGGCAGGGCCGACCACCACCCTGCTGCTGCTGGCGGGAAGGCCTGCACCCTCAGTAGGGCAGGGGAGCCCCGGGTCCACCATGAACTAGCTGTGGGAGCTGGGCAGGCCCTTCCTGGCTCTGGGGCCTGTTGCCCCATCTGCGAATGGGGCTACAGTGAGGATCTCGTGCGAGAGGCTGGTGTGGACAAATGTCTGAAGACGCGCGCCCCGTTCTTCTCAGAGGAGGCTCCTGTGACTTCTCCGCTCTGCTCCCTCTTGCACTGAGACGTGGGCCCACCTGGCCCTGGTTGCTGGGGCCCCTTGCGCCATTGCACAGCCTGTCTCCTGGCCGGACGGGGAAGTGCTCTCTGCGCTCTCTTCCGTCCCACCAGAGCCTGCGCAGCAAGGAGAGCCCAGAGCGGGCGGTGGAGGCAGATGGGGAGTGTCCCGCCGGGAGGGACAGGCGAGGTGGGGCGCCTGAGGCGTCATACGGCGGCTGTCTGCTTGATGCTGTGGAAGCTGATGCGTGTGGGCGACGTGGGGATGGACATGGCCCGGGCCACTGGGACTCGGAGGGAGTGATGGTCTTGCCAGCGGTGCCACCGCTTCCTCATGGCTGAGCGCACCTGGGGAGGGGGGAGGTAGAGACTCAGCGGAACCCTCAGGGGCCAATCCTGGGGCCCGAGACAGTCCTCTTCCCTGCGCCCTGCCCCTTGCAGGGCCATTAAGGGAGGCGGGGGTGGCCCTCCTGACCGCCACCTTCACCCTCTGGGACTGGCTGGTTCCAAAAGCGGGGCCCTTCCCCTGGCGCTGTTGGCCTTTGGAGTTCAGGGCTCCCCTCGGTAGCATCTCTCTGGGGCCCTCCTTCCCTCACCCTCCCCTGGAGAAACTCCACCGCAGCCTTCCTTTAGACACGCTGCCCTCCCTTCCTGACCTGCTGTGCCACCTCACGTCTATGGTGAGACCAGACGACCCTGCTCTGAGGATCCACGCCATCTGCTGTCCTGAGCACCTGCGGCAGCGTGTGCTCCACTCACAGACCACACGGGGCTGCCATCCTTCCCCCTCCTGAAAGACCTTCCGCTGCACCTCCTGATAGGCCGGCCTCACTCCTGGTAGCACATGCTGCCCAGCTAGAAAGCTAACAGTTCTACTCATGGCAAAGCCTGATCGTTGCTGGTGCCGTTTCATGCTCCTTTGTATCGCAGCTGAAGAGTTTTCCCGCAGCATGGACGGCATCCCCCACATACTAGCCGGGCATCTGGTTGAACAGCATAAATGCTCCAGGAGCATTCCTCGTTTGTTTGCTTTAGTGGCGCCTTCTCTCCCTGCCCTCCGGCCCGTGGTTCCACTCTCCACTGTTGGACTTTCCTATCTGGGGACGGCTGCTTTGAGTGACAGGCCCCCTAGGGCTGCAGAGCCCCGCCACCATCGCGCTGTACCTCGACAGGGGAAAGAGGCCTCCAGGCCACACTGGCATTCCCCTTAAGAGTTTGGAGGCTCTCGGGTTCTGGGCGCTGTGTCTGCTCTTTGCTCCAGATCCTACCTACCCCAGGCCTGACCGAGCACCTCTCCCGAGTCGGCTGTTAGGGTCCTGGGCCTCGTGGGTTAGCCAGGCTTCACCCGGTGCCTGACTCCCTGGAGCCCGCCTAGAGGTGAGTGGTCTTCTCTGCAGTGCGGGGAACGTGCTGGTGTCTTTTCTGTTCCCTGGGTCCACAGAGGCCTGGCTGCACGGCTCATACCTGACATGCTCCGGGACGCTTTCTCCTGTCACCACCTCTATTCTGGCTCCTCTCTTCTGTGAGACCCTGCAACCTGGGCTCCCTGCTCCCCAGCTTTCCCAGCGCATTGGTGGGGTGCCGGCACATTGTCCCTAGCCTACACACTTGACATTCTACACTGGTTGGAGTTCCTCAGGCAGGGTTCCTATACCCCCAAGGCTGGGTAGCTTCCTGGCCTCTCCTTCCGTTCTCCAGAGTGGAGCTGAGCAGAGCCAGGGACCCCGAAAGGCTGGGTGGCTCCACTGGAACTGCCCTGGAGTGGGGTGTGAGGACCTCAGAGCCCAGGCCTCCCCGGGGCCCGGTTTCATACCTCTCCATTTAAGAAGCAGTAGAAGACAGACACAAAGAAACCCTAGAAAGGAAGGAGGGATCTGTCAGTGATCTGTATGGGGAGGCGCTCTGCCTGGAGGGGTGGCGTAGGGACAGGATGGCCGGGGAACACTGACCCGGGACCCCAGGGGCTCAAAGCTGGGTGGGCCCCACCCCCATGGTAGAAGTATACTGGGGTCCACTGCGGTGACAGGCGCCATGCATCCTCAGAACAGGTGCTAGGCCAGCCAGAGGTGCCAGCTAGGGTGACCCAGACCCAGTCGGGGGTGGGGGTGACAGGGTGTGCACGCACTTCTATGTGAGTGTGTACGCAAGTGAACCACGTGTGCGCCAGTCCTGTTGAGGGCGCGGGCACCTAAGCACTCCAGGAAAGCTTACTGCAACCCCACCTGGTCACACGCCCCACCTGGAACGACTGCAGGAAGGAGTTGAAGTAGATGAACACGATCTGTGACAGGTCCTCCTCCCCGGGATTCACAAAGAAGAGCATGTAGGTGATGCCCAGAAGGGGCAGGAGAACCAGGGTGGCCTTCACCGCCTTCCTGGGGGGTGAGAGGCAAATGCTGCAGGGGGAGGGCCTCCTCACTCCGGAGGTGTCTCTTTTGGGAGCCTGAGCAAGCTCCCTGGGCGAGGATGTGCAGGGCAGGGTCGTGGCCATGGTGGCTTCCTCCTTTCTCCCTGCTGGGGGCTCAAGGCACCCGTCACTTACCTGTACTGGATGGTCTCTGACGTGGTTGATGCTCGTAATTTTGTCATTAGGATCCTGACGATGTTGAACAGAAATACAAAATTGATCTGGAGAGAGGAAGGCAGAGAGGGAAACAGGTAGGGCCGCGAGCTGGGAGGAGCTGAGAGGCAGCCACCGCCCATGCACACCCCTGCCCCTGCCTGGGGTCCCAAGGCTCTGCTTCTCTCTCACCGGGTCAGGCAGGCACCCCCATTTGCTAGTTCCCTGTCACTGGAGGGCTGCAGGGCCTGCTTGTCCACTCCCAGACCCAAAGGAGGAAAAGTAGCCTCCAAGGCAGTTAATACCAATCGCCACTGCTCCTGAGGCCGGACTCCTCGGAAGGTTCCCAACCCCCACCCGGCTCCGGGATAGGGCAGGCGCCGGGCCCAGGGCTCCGTCGGAGCGCCTTCCTTCTCTTGCTGCAGGGTCCCCACTTCTCAGGTGAGGGTCTCCCTGAGGCCCTTCTGATTGAGGACAGCCCTGCCCTGGTGGAGCAGACCCAGCCAGATGCAGTGATTAATAACCTGGTTGCCAAGGGAGTGATTAATCTCTTGCCATCCATCCCCTGTGCCAGTAAAACTCCAGAGCCTTCGCAGGCACCCCTGAGGCGATGAAGATGAATGCGCTGCTGTGCTGGCTCCCAGGCTCCCGGAAGGGCCTCGTTTATCTTCATTCCGAGCCTCTCGGCATCTGAGCCAGCACACCCAGCCTCTCCCCGGGACCTGCCCGCCAGGGATCCCAGTCAGCCTTGTGTCGTGTGGTCTCTGTGGGTCGCAGGTGTCCTGCCCATCTGTGTCGGCTTGTCTGTGTGGCTGCTCTGCCCTCCAAACGCCCCTGGTGGGTCTGCAGGTCTGTTCTCTGTGCTGGTGTGAGTGTTCGCCTCAGAGAGTATGTTCATGTGTGCGTGCGTATCTGGGGACATGGGCGTGCCTGTGTTTCTTTTCATTGGTCTCCAAGTGTGAGCAGACAGCGAAGTGAGGGTATGTAGGGCTGACACACTGGAAATCCCTTCCAAGAAGGTGCCCATGGGTCACAGGGACTTACATATTAGCCCAGAGGTGTCTGCTGGCTCATGTGTGAGCACATGTGCGTACACACACACACACACACACACACACACACACACACACACACACACCCTTCCTGAGAACTCATCACTCCTTAAACCCTCCTAAGTTCCGGATCCCAGGCTGGGAGTGGGGGACACAGGCAGATATCATGGGACAGTGATACGTGGATGACCCCTAAGCTTGAGGGTGCTCTGGGGCCTGGGGGGCTCAGACTCCTCGGCCACGGCCTGCTGCACTCACTTCTGCGGTGGCACAGCCTGTGAACTCAGGGCTGGGTGGACTGCGGAGCCTTCAGCCAGGGTGGCCCCTGGCCTGCTTCCTCTTAAGGCTCATCCAATTTCTAGCTCCTGGGTCTCTGGTATATTCCCTTCGATCATGAGGTCACCTTAATACATAGGTCAGTCTTGATTGTTCTCATTCAAATAAGATAAAATATTTGACCTTTTCTGATTCTTTCTGACTTCTCTGAGTATAGAGAACCAAGATATATTCTAATTGCTCCCACATTTCCCTGTATTAAATCTTATTTATACATCATCCTTCAACCTACTAGCCAAGTCGTTATCCACCCACTCTTACCCGTCCACTCACCCGTCCATCCATCCATCTATCCACTCACCCATTTGATGGGTAGCACACATATGCTCACCCACCCATTCATCCAGTCAATGCACAGCTGATGAGCACCTCCTGGCTACAGGGCCCTGTTCCATGGACTGAGGCAGGAGCAAGGACAGGGTCTAGTGTGAAGGGTCTGGAAGACAAGGTCTTGTCCCCTCTTCTCGCATGAGGCAGGCAGTTGGTGATGCTGCCCGCCTGCTCTCAGCCTGTGTCTGTGAGCCCGAAAGTCACTCTCTCCTTATGAGCTTCGTCCCCAGCCTCTGCACCATGTCACCCACTACAGGCACCTTCCTCCCTCCTCCAAGGAGCCTCTGACCATCCCAGCCCACATGGAACTCTCCAATCTTGGACCCCACCCTGCCCCGCACCAAATCCCAGGTCTTCAGGGAGCACTGGCTACTGCTCCCTAATCTTGTCTAGCCTGGTTTCATTCATTCACTATTTCATTCACTCACTCACTCACTCACTCATTCATTCATTCATTCATTCACTGACTGCCATGTGCTGGGCTCTGAGCTGGACACCAACAATGGGAAACAGACTTAGCTTGTGGCCTGGAGCGGGGGGCGTATTGCATCTCTCCTAACGGGTCAGAGAGCCCTGCAGAAATGGCATGTGAGCTGAGAGCTGCAGGGAGGTGGGGGAGAGCATTCCAGGCACAGGAAAGGCCAGCGGAGAAAGGCCTGAGGTGGGGGAGATGGGCCGGATGGTTGACGTGAGGCAGGAGTCACGACACAAGTCCAGGAGGGAGATAGAGCCAGCTGGGAACCCAAAGAGAAGAGGACCCTCCCTCCTGCGACCACAGCCCTGCAGGGCCCTCCAGCCTGGGACGTTCTCAGGGCAACCTGCACGGGGTGGGCTCTGGGGACGCTGCAGGGGAGGGGCTGGAAGGGCGAGGCAGGCCCCTGGGACAAGCTTCCCTGAGGAGTCCAGCCTCGCATCACCCTGCCCTGTCTTTGCTGGTGCTCCTATGCTGGGAGCCTGGTCCTCACTGGAAGCTCTGCTTTCCCCTCCTGTTGTCATTTTCTAGGCAGGCGAAGTCTCAAAGGCGAAGTCCTAGTGTGTGCAGGACCCTGGCTGGGCCACAGAGAAAGCCCGACAGCACACATCCCTGCCTGACAGGATCCCCCGGACACCGTGGTTCCCCACCGAGGTGTGCACATCAAAGGCGCCAAATGCAGATCCCAGGCCCACTCCAGACATGCCCAGTGGCAGGTGGAGGCCCTGGAACCAGCATTTGGAACAGGGGCAGGTGGGATGTCACTAGGAGGAGCACTGAGCAGAGAACCCACCTGTGGAAGGAAGACCCAAGGCTTTCTCCAGCCAGACCTGACGTGCCACACGCGGCAGGTGCCCCCAGCCTGGAGCCCCGGACCCGTGGTCACCGGCAGCTACAGGTACAGTTCCCAGCCTGGGGCTTTCTCTGGTGCCAGAGGAGCTAGCTCAGCCGAAAAACGGGGGGTTCCTGGAAATGTGGGGATTTCATGTCCCCGGGGCAACCTCCACTGATGAGGCATGGAGCGTATGGATAAGGAACCCAACTTCCCAACCCCGGCGGGGGAGTGGGGGGTGGGGGTGGGGTTGGAATTCTGAACCCCGTGGACTTGGTTGGCCCCATGCGGCCTGCTCACCCCCTCCGTCTTTGTAGGTTTCCTCCGTTCCTTGTCTTCCTCTCCCACCTCTCACGGTGATTCCCGGGACCACCTCCCAAATGAACGCACCAGGTTCTTGTAGCATGGCTCTAATTCTGGCTGTCCCAGTTCGCATTTGTGTGGCTTTGGGCAAGGGGCTTAGCTAGCCTCTCTGAGCTTTCGCTTCCTCACACGTCCAACCAGGATGACGTGCTCGTGGCGAGCACTGAGCTCCGTGCCTGGCCCAGAGAGGGGCCCAATAAATGCCACACGCCTTTCCCATGGCAATAACAGTGACAGCAGCCTCCTGCCAACTCAACCAGCCGACTCATTTCCCAGAACCCAGAAATGCAGCTGTGAACCTCTGGGGAAGGGCAGTGAGGGCGCAGGGGCACCAAGCATATATCCAACTGAGAGGATGACAGGCAGGTGGCTTTGGAGTCTCAGCTCAGTGAGCTATTGGTGGTGACCTTGGGCAAGCCGTTGCATCTCTGTTTCTTCGTTTGTAAAATCGAAGCATGCTCTCTACTTCTCCCAGGTATCAGGGAATGTGAGGATTGGAAGTAAAGAAGACAAGAGTTTCTAGAAGGGCTCGGCTTGGAACCTGGAAGCCCTGTCGGTGCAAATAGTTGGGTGTGGGCTGGGCCCCACGGGAATATAAGCAAAATGCCCTTGGGGGTGGTTGGAACCAGGAAGGGGACATGGAGAGGAGGCTGGGAGGTGGGTCTTGACACAGAGCCCTCCACACCTGTCTGTTCCCCTTTCTCTATGCAGTTCCTCACCCCCGTCCCATATCCTTGCAGTGGGGGCTTTCTCCCCACTGCTGTTGGTTCCCCATCCAGGCCAGCCTGCCTTGGCTGGGTCCCAGGCTCATCCAAAGCCCTGTCCTCCAGGATGGGCTCTCAGCAGCTGGCCAGGAGGCGATGGGTCTCATGGTGTTTCCGCTCACATGGGGGGTGACTGACTCACTGCAGCTGCGGCTCCAAGGACAATCCTTCCTGCTCACAGGGACTGACTTGTGCCTCGGAAATAAACCAAGAGCCCTGATGGCGGAATTTCAGGCAGTGGGTAAAAAACCTTCTTAGTCATCTCTGGTTCACATACACCAAGGACGCTCCAAAGACTGGGGTCAAATGAATCCCAGAAGAAGCCACAGAAAGGAGAGTAAGGAAATAAAAGAAATAAGCAGTAATTGTCCGCAAGGTAGACGGAGGAGACCTCCATTAGTCACCTGCTGTGTGCGAGAGGCGGATGACCCTCTCTCGGTTCCCACAGGAGTGGGTGGCCCTTTAAGGAAGCTGGTACCTCCAGGAACCTGAAATTACCGAGCCTGAAATAAGTCTCATGTAAATGCCAATTTCTTACGGGGCTTTTCTGAAGGGTTCTCTGTTTTTTTTATGTATGATATATAATGGGTTCATTTCTGCAGAATGGAGCCTCTGCTTAAACTCTGCCTTAATTAAAGCTCGCCATGGATTAAAGATGGGCGGCAATTATGCCTTAGATGCAAATACATTTGGCTAAGGGCGGGGAGCTGGACTAGGAACAATTGCTCATTAGGTTTCTTTCTGGTACCACGGCTCCAGGCTGGGGGTGGTGGGCTGGGCCCCAGAGTGGGTCGCTGGGGAAGGGAGAGGACGTAGGTCTGTGCTGAACAGAAGCCTGCATACCTTTCTCTTGCCACCAGCTGCCCGCTTGCCTGGCTCTCTTAGCACTGTACCTGGCAACGGGGCATGATATGTGGGACGGCACTAGAAATCAGCAAAGCATGAGACCCGGGAAGGGAGGTGCCCGGCAGCAGGTGGCATGGACAGAGTGTGCGGGGGGTGGGGGGGGAGCGGCCTGTCCAGACCACACGCTTCCCCAGCATATCAGCTGGGTGGGTCCTCGCTGTCTCCCTGGTGCCCAGACCCTCCCAATTCCACCTACCAGGAGCACGAGGATGATGGGGCCCTGGTAGATGTAGTCCACGAGGTCACCAGGTTCCTTCCCAAACCAGCACCTGCCAAGATGGGTGGCTGTAAGTGGCCTGCTGAGCCAGAGCTGGGGACCCCTGTAGACTCGGGCCCAGGGTCCTCCAGCTTGACCCTTCGAGACCCAAGCTCAAGGGTGGCACCTTCCCTAGAAGCCTGCGTGGACAGTCCCAGCCCCACTGACCACCCTGTTCACCCCTGGGCTGCCTCTGGCCCTGCCTGGAGGGTCTGGTCTCCCCAGCCAGTCTCAGGGAAGCCTGGGTCCCCTCTTCCTCCTGTTTACTCCCCCACCCCGTTCCAGACTGCGGGACCCAGGGCTGGGCATCAGGAGGCGCATGAAGGAAGAGCCAGGCTCCCCATCGCTGGCCCTGGGTCCAGCCGCCTCGTGCTACCTGCTCCTACATAGCTCAGGACGGGCTGCTCCAGGCACCAGGCACTCGGCCACACAAGCAGCACATGTGGAGGCAGGAGCCTGCTCCCATCCTGAACTTGGCCTTTCTCCAAGCTGAGCCTCATTCACCCAGCGGAGGGAGCCCACTGCCACCAGAGGCGTGGCTGTTCTCTGGAAGAATGATGGGTGGAAAAGCGCCAGGGGCAGGGGCCAGGGCCAGGGCTGGGTCAGCACCCAGTCTGGCTCTGCCGGCAAGTCCTACTGGACCTTGGGAAGGGCCTCATGGCCTTCAGGAAGCTCTGACTGTGTCCACCACACCCACAGAAGTCAGCTGGTGCACATGACTTGACAGGAAGCTCCCCTGCAGTCTCCCAGCACTGGGGTTTCTGGTCTCTGCTTGAACACCCCCTTTGACAGGAAACTCATTAGCATTTGGCATAATGATAATAGCTGCGCCACTTATATAATAGCACTTCCTAATGTTGAGTTCCTAGATTGTACCCCGTTCCTGTCCCCTTCCCCAAATCCCATCTGCTCTTTCCAGCCTCACTCATGGCCCTGGCCCGCGGGTCTGTGACACAGCCTTGGAGGTACTCTGGCCTAAAGCTGGGATCCCCTGGCCACCTCCATGTTCTCCAACTCTGAGGAGGGCCTCCCCAATGGCCAAAGGGGTCATGCATTTGGGCACTTAAAGGAACCCGGAATCCTATTCAATTCAACAAACAGTGTTGACTTGACTCCTACCAAATGAGGGCATCTGCGTGCTGGTGTTATATTTTTACATTTAAGGACAACAGAAAGCAACTCTGTCCTGGCGTGGCTGTCATTTTGGCCCTGCGGCTTGGCTGGAGCCCATGGCTTCCCTGCCCTCACATCCCCCGTCCCCTGTGGCTGGCCTGTCCTACTTACTGTTCATTCTCATAGTAGAGTTTGCCAATGGCCCAGGCAATAATGATCGGGCAGGGGATGCCTGAAAAAAGGACAGATACAGGCTGTAGTGGACACACCGGTGGACAGGGGTCCCTCTTGTAGAACACAGGGTGGGGAGACTACACAGGGCCTGGGACCATGTTTCCAATCATCCAGCTACAGACCACCCATGTCCCCAGGGGCCCCTTCCCCCACTCTCAGCTGTACCCTCCAAGCAGGTCAGAGTGATGAGGGGATGGTGTGATGTTTTGGGATTTTTCTGATAGAGAAGTGGAACTGGCCGGCTTCTCTTCAGAACCAGAGATAGGTCTTTGGAGCTGCCGCCCAGGCAAGGAGGGGAAGGCTGTTCTGGGGAAGGTGGGCAGGGCTGTGGTCCCCCCTTTGCACCCAAGATGAAGGGAGGTGACCTTGTCGGCAGTATACCCCCTCCCGCGTAGCTTTGATGGCCCCCGGGACCCTCACACCATCCGATGACGAGGAAGAGCCACTTCCGCAGGCGCTCAGTGGAGTAGGTCATGACAATGGCTGTGTGCAGGTAGCAGCCCTCCACGAACATCCAGAAGAAGTTAGTCACCACGAAGTAGTTGAAGACAGCGGTGATGCAGCGGCACCAGGCCTGCAGGGCGTGGGCAGTGGTCAGGGGCCCAGTGTGCTGCCTGGGCACCGACGGAGGGCCGGCCGTTTTAGGGGTTCACGAACATGGCACTAAATACCCTCAAACCTCATCCTGGGAAGGTTCATCCTCTGTCATCTCTCTCTCACTGTTTTGGGCTGAGTTAAGGCGCCAGCCTCCAGTGGGACCGCTGTGTCTGTGCCTTCTCCCTGATGCTTTCTAATTTCCCTTGTTAATCAAGAAAGGACTAGTCTGGCTCCAAGCTTTCTGCAGGCAGAGGCTAGAATGGATAATGTTGTGTTTTTATGGGCATATTTTTTTGAGGACCACCTTTAATCCATAACAGTCAGACTGGTTTCCATCTAGGAATGGGACATGAAATTTCATGTGGGAAAAAAGTGATTCAATTAAAATAAAATTGTTACCTAAATAATAGTGTAGGCTTTATGAAGGTGGGCTGCAGCCATGGAGGTGAGTCCCGTCTCTGGGTTTGGGAGAATGGTTGTTGCTGCTATGTACCTCCCCAACAGAGGGGAATTTGTCCCTGTCCCTCTGAGCAGGGCCACCCCAACCCACCAAGCACCTTGCAGAGGGGAGATGGGGGTGCAGGCAGAGGAAGACCGGCCCTGAGCCACAAGGAGCCACGGCCAGGTCCTGGGCCCCCAAACCAGAGTTCTTCTCAGCAGACCCTATATAGCATTCTTTTCCACGGGTGCATCAGCAGGGCACCCTCAGAGCTGAGGTAGGGACATGGGGAATGGTGGTCGGAGGAGTCCTGAGATGGGGGGCTCTCTGCCCCCGTGGATAGCCTGTCCTCTCTCTGTCTGGGTCTGACAGCCCTGGCTGTGAGATAAGCCTCCTTGCTAAGCTGACCGCCCCCATGGCTTTCCCACACGGTCCCAGCACTGATCTTCACCCCCCGTGGCTGTATGTCTCCTGTTCTGAGAAAGTCTTGTTGAAGTGGCCAGCTAAAGAGCCCCTCGTCTGAGCCCTGTTTTTTCTCCAAGTGACATCTTATCAGTACAAGACAATACAGGGCTGCAGGGTTCCCCAAATTGGACTGAACTTGGTTGGTGCTGAGGTAGAGTTCAAGGTGGGACCAAGTTAAGGGTCACACCAGGCTGGGTGTCTGCTCAGGTCCAGCCAGGCAAACACAATGTATTGAGAAGTCTCTAATGGTGTGCCAGTGACCTCTGCGTGGCCCCAGTCTAGTTTCTGTTTTTTAAATGCCTTGGACACAGTACAACAGCAGCTGACACAAATTCAAGGTGGGCAGCTAACACATGATGTGGCCTGCTCAAGATCCTGCTGGTCCAGAGGTAGAGGCATCACTGCAGCGTCACCTAACCTCTCTGGGCCTCAGTTTTCATTTCTGTATCATGGTCAAATAATCCCTATAGATCTCTCATTGGGATTTAGTGAGATAAAGCTCAATGCAGGTTAAGCCCAGCCTCCTCTGCTCTAAGGGGTCTTTGGAAGGTGCCAAACAAGATGGCGAGTGGGACAGGACAGATCAGCCTGGTGTCAGGTCTGAGCTGCTCCCAAGACCCCAACCTGGCAGCTTCCCGCCTCTCCACCTCCCCCTCTCCCCAGCTCTGGAGGGACAATAACTGGAGCGGTGGTGAGCTCAGGTCTGGGTCTGCACCTGAGGATTGGGCAAGACAGGTGGCTGCCCCCCAGAGCCTAGAGTACCCCCCCAGGCCCAGCCCCAAGCCTCTGCCCAGTGACCTCATTGTTTTCATGTGCTTTGTGGTCGATGAGCTGCAGCAGGAACCACGTGACGTTTCTCAGGATAAAGGTGGTGATGAGGTTCCAGTGAATCACGTTCCGCAGACAGCGAATGCTTCTGTGGGAGGCCCGGGCCAGGGGTCAGCTGGGGTCAGAGGTCAGCTGGCACTGGGCAAACCCGGGGTCACAGCCCAGTTGGGGTGGGTCAGGGTTCAGCTGGGACTGAGCCTTTCTGAGGCCAGGCAGGGACTCGGCTGGGTGAGGTAGGGCTGCCCCAGGCGTCCGCTGAGCCCCGGCGGCTGCGCTCGGGGCTCTCAGAGCCAGCTCCTCCATTGCATCCTGCATGGCTGCGCGCACATGCGGCCAGTGCCCTGGCGCCGCCCCCCAAACTCCCTTTGTCCACTGGCTCAGGGCCCGAGGAGTGGAGGTGAGAAGGTCTGGGCTATGGGAGAGGCAGGGAGGAGTCAGGGCGGGAGGACTCACCGCAGGGCCAGGAACAGCAGGAAAGCGGCCACCAGGGCTGCCACCGACACACAGTGGCCCACGTAGTTGACCACGAGGGCGACATGGTAGTGCAGGTCGTACTTCCTCTGCTGGACAGACAGACAGACACATGGGCAGACGGAGCCATGGGGCACAGGGAAGGCGGGCTGGCATGCTAACGATGGCCCCCCTGTGTGTCCTGCCCCTGCGGTCATCAGCATGTCTGGCTCCTACGAAGGGTCTCTCTTTGGAGGAGAAGTTCCAGCCCCACTGAGGACTGTGCTGGGCGAATGAGGAGGGGGGCAGGGGCAGGATGTATCGTTTTGGATCAGGAATGAGGTGTAGCTTTAAAAGGGCGGCAGCCGGCACGCAGGCGGCATGAATCCAGTTCCAGGGCAAGGGAGCTGGTGAGGTCTGAGCGGGACCCAGCTTCCTGCGGTGACTGCCCTTCCGGGGGCTGCATGTATTTCCATGTGGGTCATAGACTCGGAGTGCCAGGTGGGGAAACTGAGGCCCAGAGGAGGAAGGAAGTCACACAGCCTGCGAGAGGCTGGGGCACTGGTTACACAGTCATTCCTTCTTGTGTCACATGCCACCTTGGTTGGGTCTTCCACCCGCCTGAGCTCTCCCGAAGTGGGGGTTCCGTGTCCTCATTCTCTACTCCACTACAATGTCACTGAGCACAGGGCAGGACATGGGGCAGAGGCAAGAGGTACAAAATGGAGTGACTGGGGGACACAGGGCTAGTTCTGTCACCTTGGGGATCCTCTGTGCTCAGCCTGAGTCCTAATACCTGTATGAGGACCAGGGTCAGGACAGGTGAGGGCCGCTCACCTTGTCGTCCAAAATGGGCACGCACTGCGAGTAGTTAATCCGGGAGGCCCACGTCCCATTCTCCAAGCACTCTCGGTAGGCGTTCCCTACAAAAGAAGCCAATCACCAAGAGGCAGGTCACTCCCCTCCTCAAGAACACGCTCCAGCTCCCAGGTTCCTCCAGGATAAGGTCCATACTTCTCAGCTTCCCTAAGCCAGGAAACACATCATATATCTGCAAGTTCACATGAAACTCATTTGTGTGACAATTGCACGAAAGACTTACCACAAAGGGGAGCTGAAAGGCAAGATAAAGCCCATTTTCGATACAATTTTTGACTAGGTATTCATACACTTAAATTTTGTTCAAAACTGAACCCAGTTGGTAAACCCTGGTTGTGGGTGAAGATTCACCACTTTCAGCATGCCAAATAATTTCCATCCTTCTCTCAATCACTTGATGCTTATGAGATCCATGCTTTTTCTACCAGTATCAGCACTTTCATTTTAATAAGCGCCACCACCGACATACCACGTGTTTACCGTGCACCAGATCTTCTAACTGCTTTTCCTTCAATCCTCATAGCAACCCCATGAGGGAGGAACTCATATCAACCCATTTTAGAGAGAGGAAACTGAGGCACAAAGAGATTAGACTGCTTGCCCAGGACACAGGATGAGAAGAGGGTTCAGACTCAGAAGGTCTGGCTTCAGCCTTTGTCTTCTTAACCCTTAGGCTACTGAGCACATAGGAATGAGGGCCCTTTGGGAAAACAGGTCTGTGCTGCTGACCTTGAGCTGCAGCTGCCTGGGTGACCACCATGTGATGATGTCTCTAAATGTTTGAGATCCGGCCTCTGTACTAAAGTGGGAATGTGATGTATGAAAAGGCATTTCAGAGCCGCAGTGTCTGATGTACGAAAGTTCAGGCTTTATTGAAGGGTAATGTATGAAGGTCAAAGAATGCTCTTATTTGCCTTTCTGTAAATCCTAGTGTGACTGTCAAGGTCTCACTCCTAAGCCACCCGCTGTGGGTGGTCCACCCTCAGCCTCCAACCTGGAGGAACCCCTCCCACCTGAGAACTCCCAGAGCCCTTTGCCGGCCTCTGCTCTGCATGGCACGATTAGCATGACTCTTACCTCCCCGACTCGATTATAAATTCTAAGGGCTCCATTGTTTGGGGGTTCTGCTCTCTGGCTCATGAACAGTTGTTTGTGGGTTTTTCTTTTGGCTTATGTTAGATATACAATACAAAGCTAATTGAAATAAATAGCACAGAGCAGTGTCACAGAGCTAGAGGGGGAACCTTAGATTGTTTTTGGAAGTAGCGAGTTCTGAAATAATTAAGTTACTTAAAAAAAAAACCACTTCCGTTGAGCTGACAGTGAGTTGAAAGCAATGGAATTATTAAGGAGTACTCGCTGAAGAGCAGAAACAATGAGGGAGATTCGATTAGCTTAATTGTTTTTTAATTTGGTGCTCTGAGAGCATAGATTTTTCAAATTTAGGGTTGTGACTGGCCGTCCCTGCCTCCGGGGCCTGTCAGTGCGAGGTCGCCTCTGGCAGGGCCCTGGCCCCAGGGTGAGCCAACCAGGCCAATGCTGGTCTGATGCCAGTTCCAACGCCAGCACGAGGACACGGGCTCCTCGCCCCTGACCAGGGCACCCAGCTCCTCCCCACTTGGGTTTTCTCTTTCCTCAGGGTAGTTTCACTACGGAAAGGTTGTAAGTTAAGAGAATCTGATGTATGGGGTCAGTGATGTCGCTGAACTAAAGGACGGAGTGTGGGGTGAAGCTAAAAGGGCCCACATAAGGGTATCTTGGAAGGGCGGGTCCTTTTACAAAAGGAACAATCGCTTCCTGGTGGGGGTTTACAGTCCCTCTCAACAGGCCTGTGGGAAATGAGGCCGACCCAGATCCTGGCTATGGTTCAAAGGGCAGAAACATTTATCTTCTGGGGATGTGTTCACAGATGTTATCCAGCTTTCCTCAAGTTCAGTGCTAAGTCCCTTCTTCCAGGAAGGCCTCCTTGCTTGTTCCCATTTCATAGATCGCTCCTCTCCCTCTCTTTCCCTCTCGTCCCCCTCGCCTCCCTGCTCCCAGGTCTGACAGCCTGAGTCTCATAATTCCAGCCCTTGTGCATGACCTGGCCTGAGTTGTTCAAGTGTGTGAGCCTGGTCTCTCTGATCAGTGCGGGGCTCCCTGAGGGCAGGGCCTCAGAATACTCATGTGGTCATGGTACTGACCACAGGGAAGGCTGTGGATGGTCAGGATAGAGATGGTCAAATCTGAGACATTTCTGGTCCCTTATGTCATTGCCTCCATGGTACCAAGTTCCATGGATTCTGACTCCTTTCTTTTCCTGGAGCCCTCCGCCCTCCTGCCTGTCCTCCCACCCTCTCTCTGGCCATCTTGCCTGCTTGCTTGGACTGGCAGAACAGCCCCCTATCTTGCCTCCCTGCCTTTCCTCTTGCCCCCTTGACTCGCTCTATCCTTTACCCTGACTGTCAGGGTGATCATACGGATTTCTGCTTAAAAGCCATCAGCAGATTTTTATTGCTTGGGGAACAAAGTCCAACTTTCTTAGTGAGTGGGATAGTCAAGGCCTTGGACACTCGGGCACCAGCTTAACTTTCCTGACCCAGCTCCACCAGTCCACATGGCAGTTCACAGTTGCACAAACAGGCAGGGCACATACCCGGCTGTCTGCCGAACCACCCCTTGAAACACCCTCCTCACTCTCACCCACTGCTCGCTGACAAACTCCCACCTATCTTTTAAACCCTCGCTCAAATGCCACCTCCTCCTGGAGGCTTCCTCAACACCCGAGATAGTAAGTAATCTCTTCTTTTTTCTAAATACCTCCTCTATGTCTTCCCATCCTTGAAACATAAGCCTTTACACTCTTGCCCTTGAACCGCAGCAACAATCCATTTCATATCACAATCCAGTACACACACACACACACACACACACACACACCCCACATTACTGAATCCAGTTTCACAAAGCAAAATGTTGTATTTTCTTTCCATTCTATTCCAATGAATTCTATTTACATTATACACAAACGTTGGTCATGACTCACTAAATTGACTTCAGAATCCACTATTGTGCTACCATCTGTAGTTTGAAAAATAAGAATCTCTTTTAGAGCATTTGCCATAAGTTGCTATGGACTTCATCTCGTTGGACTTGATTCTATTCTTGGCTACTGAACTTAAGCTCCCTGGGGACAAACACATAGGCGGAGACCATACTGGAGTCACTGGAGCCCCCTCAGGAGTGAGCCATCAAGTATATGTGGGCTGCATCGAACTGACTCCGGTCTGCCGAGACCTTGGAAAGTCGGGTCTGGGATGCAGTGGTGGGAGGCGGCTTCCCTCCGAAGGCCGAGCCATGCCTGGGAATGAGTTTCTGGCTACCGACGCTGGGTACCAGGGGCCTGGAAGACAGATGCTCCCAGCCCTTCAGGACAGCTGGCTAATGAAGACATGGAGCCCTCAGGCACAGCCTTGAACAGGATAGAGTCAGACAGGAAGAGTTTCCCTCAGGAACCACAGGAAGATGGGCATGGAAAGTCTGAGGGCAGGTAGCCAGGCCAGAATGACCGGGATGGATACAGGGAGGTGGGTGCCCGTTACCACAGCAACACAGATGCCCCTGCCAAGATCAGTGCCGATGGTGTGCAGTGTGGCCGGCCAGGGGCATTAGGACCCGGGTGATGCAGGCAGGGTCTTCCCTTCCAGGGTGCCTGGGAAGCCAGGACCCTACCCAAAGCAATGTGCCAGGCCTGTGCCCCCAGAGTGGCCCTGGCCTGTTGAAAGCCCCCATTACAATGGGCTCTCCCCCTTTCAGATGCCGACACTGTGATAAGAGTTCCTGGTTTAGGCAGTCCTACCTGAGTGGTGCAGAAGCCTGGCTGAGAGAAAATGGGAGACTGTATTCTCGCTGTAGTTTTGTCTCTGGCTGGCTAAGTGACTTTGGCTAAATTCCTTCCCTTTTTGGCTTCAGTTCCCCCTCTCAGAAAAAGTAACATAACCTGGTTCTCAGTGATGGCATTGCCATCTTAGGTGGATCAAGTATTTGTTGTGTGGGTCTTCTCAATCTGCTAAATGCCAATGGCAACCTTGAACCATTGCAACAACCCTAAACATCCCTACATCACTTTCAAGTGTTCCCTAGGTTGGCACTTCTGTGTCTGATACTGTAACTGGCAAGGCATGGGAAACAGGCCTTAGGATACAGGGACCATGAAGGACCATTTTGGTGGTAGTTATAGAGGGCAGAGTGCAAGAGACAGGTTGGGCCTGGGTAGTGAGTGGGACTGTGGTGAAGGGGCAGCAACATGGTCATTGAATACCTAGAAAGAAAATCACAAGAAGTGAGGGTGGGAAGCTGCTGGCAGGTGCTGACCAGAAGGCGGGGAGGGCCAGAAGCAAATACCTATTTACTGAAGGAATGAAGTCACTGTGTGGACAGGAACTTTCAGCACCACGGATAGCAGAACAAAACCACTCTCCACTCCCCACCATCTCTGTAGGTGACCCCACCTTGGACAGCTCCTAAGACCCAGCCAGCCCTCTCAACCCTGAGCTCAGCCCATGGCCCTGGGCCCAGCCCTAGAAGGTCACACCAATCATGTCCCTTTTGAAGACCCAGCTTCAGCGCTACATCCTCCAGGACTACATCCTCCAGGTGCTTTCAGGACTGCTCCAACCCCTTGGGGGTTCAGCTGCTCACCTCTCCTAGTTCATGCTGGGTCAGGGTTGTTCTCTCACTGACCCCTGTAAAGGGGTCATGCTTTCCCAGCGAACCTAAGGGGACAAGGCCTAGGTTGCTCTCTCCTCTAGTCCTTTCTAAAGGGCCACACAGAGCTGAGTACACAGGGCTCAGGATGGACCAAGGTGGTGCTGTTGTCTAGGTGACTGCGGGATTCTGAACGAGGATGAGAGGCTCGGAGTGGAAGTCCAGGCTCCTCTAACCTGCATGGCAAATGCAGAACAGGCACAGATGCAGGGGGCCTCTAGAGTCACACACGCCGTAGCCACAGGTAGCCTGAGCCCCACCGCCAGAACTGCTGGCAGTGTAAGTCCAACCCCCCTTG